GTTCGATCGCGCCCGCGCGCCTCTCTCTCTCTCTCTCTCTCTCTCTCTCTCTCTCTCTCTCTCTCTCTCTCTCTCTCTCTCTCTCTCTCTCTCACACACACACACACACACACCAGCATTGCAATCTTGACATCGCAGCCTGTTCAGTATGCGGTCACGGTCACACCAAACGCGAATAGAGCGTCAAATTCGCGTCTAGTTCGACGCTAGTCCAAAGCGAATAGGACGCACATATAAAGCCAACGTTTGAAGTGAACGCGCGTTCAGAGCTAAGCCGATGCTACAGATTATGTGTCCCTAAAGAACCCGCGTATCTAACAGTAGTTCCGCATTACATTAATTAATTTGCACGCGAGTTTTATTTATTTTTATACCGTGTATTCTCCGTGTAAATTCGTGCACCGAACCGTGACGCCCGTACCGTTTCGGTTCGATACGAATACATGTACCGTTCCACCCCTAGTAATGACATCTGCCTGTAACAACATTCATCATCAGGCATGAGAGAAACTTTCTTACCGTCATCCCATGTCCCATGGCCCAGTATGACTGGCCTGCTTTGACTACTTGGTCATAAGGGTAGCCTGAACAAGGTCACCAGAGACAAGACACGCCTGACTAAACTTCCATGTCACAACATTCCTGCATGTACTCATTGACTGGTCCACTGTCCCCCTTTCCAAGCCAGAGCTTTGTGTCCAGACTGAGTTTAGCCAGCTTTAAGAACACAAAGAAAGTGCTTATACTGCAGGAGCTCTGATCCACTAGTGACAGTCAGAAGGCTTTGACCATTTGTGACAGGAGACGGTGACGGATGTCAATTGAGACCGGCTCTGAGAACAAATTAGCTCATAGCTGATTATCCTGCTGATTGTAACCTCAGTCAGAATAGTGTTATTCACTTTGCACAACTTATAATAATGGATATATATGTGCAGTCAACAATACCACCTGTAGGACTCAACAGATCTGGGGTGTGTTTCCCAAATGCATCGTTAGCCAACTATGGTCACAAGTTCCGTTGTTACTAACATAGTTCAACGATTTGGCATTTCCCAACACCATAGTTCCAACATACATTATCAAACAGCATCGCAAATTTGTGTGGTTGGAAATAAAGCTCTCTATCTGTGCTTAGAAGCATAGTTTATTATTAGTATGACATGTGGACTTAAATAGATCATGCTCTTGTGGAAAATAGGCAATCTAACGTAGTACATTCTACAGTTGTAATCAAAATGATTCAACCCCCATTGCAAATCAGATTTATTGGCAAAATGTACTGACTTTCAGCTGTTTGCAGTGAACAAATCAAACAAAAGTAATTGAAATTGCTCAACACAATAAATGTTTCAAGAGATTTCTACAAACTTTAACATAAATGCAACTTTTAATGACCTCTGCAGTCTCAAAATTATTCATCCCCCTGAATAGAATCCCTCATAACACCACAAATCTGCAAAACGGGTGTTATCTCAAGCACACCTGATGCAACTTCATTAGTTGCTCCAGGTGTTCTTGAGCTAGAACACATGAAATATCTGAACTGGCTAGGTTTGTTGAGTGTCACATTTGACTGCAGAAATATGGCTAAGTCAAAAGAATGGTCTATAAAGTAAAGAGAAGATATCACTGCCCTTCACAAACAAGGAACAGGATACAAAAAGATAGCGATGGAACTAACTGTTCCTAAAGACACCATTGGAAGCATAGTTCGCAAGTTCAAACGTAAAGGAACTGTGGTTACACTACCTGGACGGGGCAGAAAAAGGAAGCTCTCAATGGCTGCAACCAGATTTCTTAGAAGGCAGGTTCAGATAAACCCTCGAGTGACTGCAAAAGACCTGCAGTAAGACTTGGTGGCAACAGGCACTGAAGTCTCAGCTTGAACAGTAAGGCGCGTACTAAACGCATGCGGTTTCCAAGCCAGAACTCCTAGACGTACACCACTACTGACCCAAAAGGACAAAAAAGGCAGCTCCAATTTGCTCAAACTGATATTAATAATTCACAGAAGTTTTACGCTTCTGGGACTTTTCGGCCCTATGGATCAGCGGTATGTCTGGAGGAAGAAGAATGAAGCATATGCTGAAAAGAACACTCTGCCTACAGTTAAGCATGGTGGTGGCTTGTTGATGCTCTGGGGCTGCTTTTCGTCCTCTGTCACTGGAAACATGCCACCTGTGGAAGGCAAGATGGATTCATTGAAGTATCAGGAAATCCTAGGAGAAACGTCATGCCGTCAGTGAGGAAGCTGAAGCTTGGGTGTCATTTGACCCTCCAACAGGATAATGATCCCAGGCATACCTCAAAATCCACCAAGGCTTGGTTGCAGAATAATATTATCCTGGAATATTATACAGTGGCCATCACAGTCACCTGACTTGAACTCCATAGAAAATCTCTGGTGGTATTTGAAGGCGGCGGTTGCAGTACGCAAACCCCAGAATATTACTAAACCGGAGGCCATTGCTCATGAGGAATGGGCCAAGATTCCTCAGCAACGCTGCCAGAAGCTGGTGTCTGGTTATACATCTCGTTTGCAGCAGGTCATAACAGCAAAAGGGTGTTCTAGTACTAAAGATGCTTGCCATGAAGGTGTTGAATAATTTTGAGACTGCAGAAGTCATTAAAAGTTGCATTTTCAGTTGAATTTGAATTTGGGGAAACCACTTGAACAAATCAAACAAAAGTAATTGAAATAACGCAACAAATGTGTAATTGAAAGTCTGAAAATTTTGCCAATAAACCTGATTTGCAATGGGGGGTTGAATAATTCCAATTACAACTGTGTATCTTTCATTATATATATATATATATATATATATATATATATATTAGCATATATTAGCACTGTTCTTCAACAATTAGCACTGTTCTTGAAGAGTGCTAATGAGTGTAAATGCGTAAGAATCGGCATACATTCGGTAAATAAACTGCATATAGCCTACGAGACAGTAGCGTGCAGTTCTGAAATGAGGAGGCTAAGAAGAGGCATAGATTTATTGTATGTTTAAAAAAAAAAAAAAAATCAAATGTAAATTCATGTTCCAGTTACACTTAATGTTGTTACATTTTCCTGGTTAAATAAACATTACTTTAAAAAGAGAAACAAAGAAAAAAATAAACCAAATTCAATTCAATTTTGTATTTTTTACATTAACAATGTAATCCATTTTTTATTTATTAAACCCAAATATAAATCTCATCAAGTTAGTGCTTTAAGCATTTTTACATGCATTCAATAAATAAAGGCAGTAACAATTTAAACAATATATTTTATTTGTGAACTGATGTTCAGCTGTTCTTTGAATAGTCAACTTATTGTTGGATCATTAGTCAATATGCTCGATAAACACTGGTCACAGACACGAAGATGTACAGTACCTTTAATTTCACCAAGCTGATTGCTCATTAAAAAACTCCCACAGTCATCATGTTTTCAGGCCATTTCAAGTTTGATTTTGATTTTGTGGCTTAGCTGTTTACTTACTTTTTAATTAGTCTTCCCATTAATGCAATCATTTTGTTAATTCAGACTGATTCTCGTACGCGGAATACTCACGAAAAGTGGTGGGATTTATCGTACGAACCAATTATAGCCAGTCATAGCGCGATGGAGGCATTGCCCCTCTAACGTGACTTTCCCCCATTCATTCTTAATTACCCACAGCACGCTTTAGGGGGTCTGTTAAAACTCAATGGGCTCAGGGGAGGCAAGAGAGACATGGACTCCCGCTGTAACGTTACCTGCTGGTGTCGCTTTTAGACAGTGTTACTTTTAAAAAACAAGTGATTTATACACTTTTTAATGTGTAATATTTAACATTGTGTAATATTTGCGTTGTTTTATTTTTGTAATATAGATTATTGCTTCTATATAGAAATATAGAAATGCTTTCGGTCGTTTAGTGTAAATTAACTATAATAATGTTACAATTGTGATCTTGATAAATTAATTAGCAGAAGTCATCACTCCATTTGCATGATGTCATTCACAACAGTCTGAATTCGTTGAACCAACGTGGTTCAAACAACGGAGGTGCGACCATGTTACTATGGTTTCTAATGTTACTAATGGTCACTAATGTTACTAATGGTCACTAATGTTACTAATGGTCACTAGCTAGTTAATCCCTACAACTATGCATCATACTATGGTAGTTAAGCAGTGAGTTACGTCGTTATAAGAAAATCACATCCCCGATCTCTTAATGACCCGTGTACCAATGTCACCCTCGGCATACCTTTACTTCACTTCAGTTATCAAAGTGATCTGATTTAATGACACCTTTCAGTGAAGTGTGACCTTCATCTTCTTGCTGAACTCAGTTTAGTGTTAACCGTGATAAATGCCTCACTTTTGTGTGACCTTCTTAGACAAATAATCACGAGCTGTGAATCCACTGTGTGTTTTGAGAAGGCCCTGAGCCCACAGTCATTGTAAACGAACGTCATATTTCTTAATCGGATCTCCCAGTGTGAAGGGCCAGTAAAGCAGTACATCTGATCAGGCAAAGTGACTGCTAGAGCGTCAGACTGACGTTACAGCTCAGGCACGAGATGTCAGACATACGTTCACTGCCAGTCCACCCCCTATTACATCTATGGAAAATCCCTCGAAGACTGCTTGTTAATTGGAGCGCCCAAACCGCTGATGCCCTCGTTTTATTTAAGGCATAATGTGAGTTGGCGTGTCCCCACATCAAATGTGACTTGTGGTTAATGGAACACTTGTTTCACAGCTTGAGAGCCCCCAAAGTCTGACTGTGTTAAATGAACTTCCACTGTGGAGTTTTATTCAGTCTACTCCCGAATCAGTCTGTCAAGCAGAAAAATGGTTTATAACAATTCCACTTACACAGTTATACTGTTAACAACAAAAAATAGACTTTTATTGTTCTTGAATTTGATTGGTACAGAAAAATTACAACAGTTCTAAAGCCTGATGCTTAAGCTAATCTAACAAAATTTATAATCTTGCCATTCCCTTCATACAGAAAACATAAACACAACTGCTACTGCGCTGAGGAGATTCTTAGTGGTCTTCGACAGCCTGTTGGCGTGGTGCATTGTGGGGATGGATCACAGCGGCTTTTTATTTTGGAGAAGGAAGGCTTTGTACGAATCCTAACACACAACATGGAGCTCCTAAAAGAGCCTTTTCTGGACATTCATAAGCTGGTCCAAAGCGGTATGAAGGTAAGTGGCACTTAGCTCTTGTTTGTTGGTATAGTGTTATGAGTTGGATGGATTGACAAAAAATATTTGTTTTATGATTTTTTTCTCCATTAAAATGTGTTATACATAAAGAAATGAAAATGAGATGTATGTTTACAGTCATGGTCACTTATGTCAGATTCTCATCAGTGGCCTGAACAACTTTTATTTCAGAGCTTGAAATTCTAATTCGAAAGAAGTTGGAAATTATACAGCTACAATGTAACTCCATAAAATCTATTCTCCATCTCTATTGTGTAAATGCATATTATAGATCATATTGTGAACAATCATCCATGTATGTACAATTTTTTGGGGCCTTGTAATATTTAATCGAAATATCATAACTTGATCTTCTGGTGAAAATGACTTCTCTGCGGTGTCGTATGCCGAACTTCTCCAGTCATTTAGTCTGCTTAAATCCCGCCCCTTCAAAAGCGACTGCAATCTAATTAAATTTTGAGCGCAATGACTATATCTCAAAATCCAATTAACAACGGATGGATAGAACCAAGTGCTCACCGGTCCCTACATATATTTTCTTCTACAATAATCTATTCCACTCTGATGTACGTCACAGTATGGAAGAAAATATGTTACTTCCGTTTGATTGTGATTTTAATTATAAACTATTTATTTAGCATGATGTTGTTGCATCCAAGCCCAAGACAAATGCCATGTCGGCTTCTCATAATTCGGCCAACACAACATCTACCAAAATGACAGAGTGCACCTATAACATATTATACAGTGCAAAAAATGTATCTGGATTGTTTATTTAGAATCGTATCCTAGTTGATACAAGTATTTTTAAGCATGCTAATAATGGTGAGTTTTAGCTAAACTTAGGTTTTCTCTCCCAAAACTACTGACATATCTGCCTCTGATGAGGAACTAGCTGCTATTTGAAATTCATGCAGCCTGACCTCCCACCATCAGAGAAGTCTGTCTTCCATAAATCAGGAAGCTTCGCTGAAACCTGAAAGATCTGTTGTTCATCATTTTGGTTTGGCACCTTTTCAGACAAAGCCGAGGTGGGAGAAATGAAGCCCCCTAACAGAATAGAATCTTAAAAGAGCACAATAACAACTTCTATGGATTTATTTCCATTTTTCCTCTCCTCCCACCACAAATCAAAACCTGAATAGAGGGTAATACTGAAGCCAAAAATAGTGTTGGCACAACAATTATATTATTATACAAATGCATTCTGTATGTGGGCTTCTATGTGTGTGGTTTGCTTGCTGTCAACTTGACTGCCAGCAGAGGAAACCTTGTGTTTTGTTGTTGAGGATCAGTGAGAAAGGCTGAAATGTTGCCAGCTGTAGCATTCGCTTACATGCATGTCTGTCAGCAGTAGTTATGGCGTGTGTCACAACAGATGTTTATCTTCCCCCACAAGAACTGAGGCATTCTGTAATTCGAGAACATTTCATTTAGGAAGTGTCCAGAGATGTAGGAAGATGACTGCTTTTTGACAGGAAGTTTATGTATATTGCATACCTCCTGTTGCTTCACTTACTGTATAAAGGGAGAAGGAGCAATTATGGAGTCAACATGCAACAGCCCCACAGGAAAGACCCCAAATGTGCCTTGTCATCATTAAACATAATTGGCTGTGGATAAAGCAATCATTATGACAATTAGAGTAAGCTCAAGCTCCAGCGTTCCCCAAGAGTGCTATTCTGTCAAGTTTGTCCAAGTCATTCTGAGTAAGCCGTGTTTACTTGGAGCATCAACAGGACATGTGCCCTTTGTGCCCGCGGAAGGCCTCGAGACCCGCTGGGACCCAACTTGGGCATGAAGGGGAATGATAGTGTTTTATCATGACTTTGATTCTAATGTTCTGTATTTCCTTCAAGCCCAATCCCCTCACTGCCAATTAAGCCAAACTGCTTGAAAACAATGCTCTGTCTACTTGAGGGAGTCTCCCAGAGCACTGTGGGTGTTCTCTGATGAAACCATATCTCTTCATTCACTCACTCACACACGCATACACACTGTGTGACATTATCAAATATTCTGTGTGATTTGCGCTTTTTGGATTACAGCTAGAAGTTTTGTACTGAAAAGCAAAGGCACCGTCTCCTCTATGTACTGACATGATTTTCATTTCTGGATTCAAATTTATTTTTGATATCTTTTGGGGGCATAAAGTTAAGAAAAAAAATGTCAGAGTGATACAACTGTCATGATATAGAAAACAAGGTTGTTAAAAGATTTTAGTTTGGCATTATGTTTTATATATACATATATATATATATATATATATATATATATATATATATATATATATATATATATATATATATATAAAAACCCATTTTAACAGACTTTTGTCCACCAAATCAAAGTCATGTGGTTCAACCAAGCAGAAACATGCAGGGGAAAAGGTGTCAAGGCCAATAAATCTCCTAAAATATTAGATCATTTGACCTTTTTATGACAAGGCAAGGTTAGGTCAGGATGTAAAATGTCATGACTCCCCAAAAACTTAAATGAATTTATAAACTATTCAAGGAGTGAGAATATGAACGACTTTTTAGTTGACACGACATGACATTTTTTTAGAGAGTGAATTGCTGCATAAATTATACATTTTTTAAAGCCATATGAAATCATATTCGTTTATGCTAATTTTTTTAATTTTTTTTCTTTATCATAGACACTCTTATCTGTCACTGACCCAAATTCTAATCTTCCAATAAAAGAGTCAAATACCAAATACCGAATGCCTTATTGGTTTTGGCCAGGTGGAGACATCTTTGCCATTTTGCTTCTGCTGCATAGATATCGCAAGGTGGATTGCACTGGCTGCTGTGGAAGCATGCCATAGGATTGTGGTCCAGTTTGATTTATTTCAAACTACTTTATTACACTCTCACATCTGTGGCTAGTCTTTAAAGTGCAATCCCGCACCAGCCTGACTACCATGTTCTAGTTTCAGCAAAGTAAGAGTGCTATTATTGGGCTCTTAAATAGTTAACTACCAGTTAACTAATTTGGGATGTCTTGCGAACACGTTACCGGGTTCCAGATGCTGCAAAATAGTCATACAGTGACAAGCAAAATCCTGAAGTGTAAGATTTCAGCGCCCTAAAGGTTTTATCTTCTAAACTATTTCTGTGAAAGAGCCCTGATTCAGTCCATGTTGATGTGATAGGTACACAAGTATGGTACTGCTTTGTTGTTGTCCTTGCTAGATGTAGTGAAGAAGACATCTGCACGCAATGTGAGCGCAGTTCCATTGTGGTGTATCAACTAACTCAAGGGGTCCAGCTGCAAAAAACTATTTCTTGCCGAAGCAAATAGATCACAGCATGTTGTGCACTCTGTCACTTGACACGCACAGCTGTTGAGCTCTTTCAGCTAGACAAGCAGGAGGGCTCTTGACTCTGTCAAAAAATAAGTATCCTAGCTTTGACAAATGGACCTTTTCCTCTCTCGTCCTTTGACTCCTTTAACAGTTCTCTTTGAGAAACAGCCACTGCTTTTGCTGTCATCTTGCATAGCTTCCTCTGAGTTCCTGGCCGAGGTTTAGACTTTGCGAGGACCCCCGAGACAGGATGAGCACCTGTGATAGAGCCATTCAGAAGATTTGTGGATTGCTCCAGAGAGCTGCCTCTGTAATGAGTGAATGTTATCCTACGATTCGATCTGCTCTTTTCACTGCTTGAAAATGAGCGATCCTCACCCAGAACTCCAGTGCTGCCACAGGATTAATGTGTGTTAACAGGTGGAGGAGGGGGATTTGACTTGGGTCTTGGGATTCATTGTGTTGAACTAAATGGAGCTCTGAATTAGTGTGAGCATTTCAGATTGCCTTTGAGGTAGGCACACATTGTTTTTCTCCAATCAGCTCGGGTGGAATGCCTCTTTATGTAGGATTGCCTGAGCCAATAAGGATCAAAAGGTGCTCAGAAACAATGTGCAAGCCAGGCCATGCATCAAGTCCTGAAAGGCAAGCAGCTGCCGATGGGTTGAGTGGGGGGCTTGGAGGGAGGCAATAGCGCTCTGTTCCTGTCTGCAAATTCATCTGACCCTTCACTAGCATTCTTGCTGAGAAGCTGTTACAACCTAATCTTCGGACTGTCAAAGCAACAGGCAGTGCACAGAATGCTTACAATAACATAGCGTAGGACCTCTTTTGAAGCCACATTTTAGAGCTGAAGTGTTCTTATCGACATCAGCATGCTGCAAGGTTACCCTAATTAAGTGTCTAACAAAAGTTCTTGTGGCTGCAACAGTAGAACAATATGTACTAGCTTTGAAACTAAGCTGAGGCTTGTACACATAGCCCTACATCTGCTATGATGGATGGAGGGAGGCTATCATGAAGTTTGTCTTCTTTTAATTAAGTTTTTGGTAGCACCCAGAGGAATGGGCCTGGAAAAGTAAAGATTTTTTTGTGCCTACTTGTTGAAGGAACGATCATTAGCAAAAAGCTAATATTTCAGCTAATTTACAGTTGTTCTTTGGTGGTCCCTGGCCTGAGATCATACGACTCTCTGGAATTCTTAACTTGACCTGCTCCCTCTGTGTTTGTTTTGGGATTCAGGTCAGTGCATCAGGAGTCCAACATGTTGGGAGGGAGTTTCGGGGAAAGGAAGAATGTTTCATTTGAAAATGCAGAGAAAGGATAAATGATATCAACCTGCTGTTAACTCAACCCAACCTCATTTTGTGTTTGACTAATGTAGAACAGACATTTAATGGGCACCACAAAGTTTTGCTTGTGTTTTCGCTTTGTGGTCAACTAAAGAGGCCTCCTGAGTGTTATTATTCATGTCCCTACAGATCCAATTCGAACTCCTCTGGAGCATTCCGGAGATGAAGCGCTAGCACTTGAAGCCTATCCGAATTGGATTACTTCAGCACAGCCCAACAGAGCTGCTCTGACCAATTTATGATCTGTATGTTTTGGCGTGTAACATGTGCTGAACCACACCGCTAACTCCTCAATCCACAGAAGACCTCTTTTTGCTAAATTCCTGTGAGAAATGAGAAAGGAATGCCGCAGTGGCACAGACAGCTAATTTCATGAAAACTCTGTTTGTTTACTTATTTGACAGGCAATATCACTGAATTGTTATTGTATGTGTTGTAATTAAACTGCCGTTATGTCTTATCCCAAAGCATTAAATCTCAATAATTTTTTCAGGGATTCTCCTCAAACCCGTTTGTTCATTCATTGATTCGTTCATTCATTCATGAGGCATATGCTTAGCAATCCGTTCATTCATTTCATTTGTGTTACCAGAAAGAAAACAAAGTTGGGAAGATGAAAGGGAGGAAAGTCCAACATTATTACTTTCCCCAGGAACTAACGCGACATAGCTGCTTATTACAACAGGCTATGATGAGTGGACCACCAGAGTAGTGACAACTCATGTAGTTGCCTGCGGGATGAGAGGTTTTACCTATTACACAAGCAAATTCAATGTTTTCCAACTTGTTGCCAAGACAGTGGGAGTTTTTTTTTTCTTTTCTGTCCATTCTTTTTCTTGCCTCTCTAAAATTTTGCACGGGTTTAAAAATAAAAAAGAGAGAGAGGGAGAGGGGGAGGGGGAGGGGGAGGGGAGGGGGGGTCTAAAGGAATCCTGGACTTTTGTGCTCTCTATGAACTGCGAGCGAGCTAATGAATTGTTTCAGCCACTCAGCACTGCATTCACGGATATCCCCCTAAGATTACACACACAAATCACTTGCACAATGGAGGCCGCAAGGAGGGCCTGGGCATCCCAGAGGAGCCTGGCCCCAAATACAAGCGTCTATAACCAAGACAGGGTTGGTGAAAAGGGGGGTGTGGGTTTGCGTGAAGTCAAATGTTTTATAATCATTTGTAATGCAGTAGTCAAGGAGAGGGGAGGTAAAAAAAGCAAGAGGGCAAGAGGGCATGGGGTAACTGGCCCCCATATGGAGAAAGACTGAGATGGAGAAAGACAGAGAAAAGAGAGAGAGAGAGAGAGAGAGAGAGAGAGAGAGAGAGAGAGAGAGAGAGGGGGACATGGGGAGGCACTGCTTAAGCATTTTGCAGCCCAGCCCAATCTAAAAAAAGGGACATAATTAACTTCTGGATTCTTTGTGTACCCCATCTGACTTGCAGGGAGGAGATGAAAGGGGCTTGCTAAGCCTTGCATTCCACCCCAATTATAAGAAAAATGGAAAGTTCTACGTCTCCTACACGACCAACCAGGAGCGTTGGGCAATCGGACCACACGATCACATTCTTCGTGTAGTCGAGTACACGGTGTCCAGGTAATGGGAAACCAGTCACAGCTTGACCAAGCACAGGGGCAACTAACTAGAGTCGTAGCCATCATAGGACGTACATCCTCCTTCATATTCAGATATTGTCAAACTATCCTCTTGATTTACAAAACCAACAACAATATAATACTATTGTCTTAAAAAAAGGGAAAAAAATCTGTTGATGACAAAACCATGCTTTACCCACACATTTGGTCCCCCCAATGTCAATATGTGGTGAGGGCCTTGGATCAAACACTTTACACATGGACGTGCATGCGTAGTGTTTGTTTTCCATGTGGTTTTGGATCCGTCTTGAGAAGCCAAGCTCCTCATGAAATGCTTTCACTGACAGTGACGAATGGTTTATAGAGAAATGTAATCACAACATATAATTATCACAATAACTGACATCCATTCTGATTGTTTTTAGCTCCCCAGCAGCATTAACAAAACATGCTGAAGTATACATTTTGTTTGAATCACATTGTAAATAAGCCTTTCAGATGCCAAGCTTGCCAGTGTCATCTGGTTGGGAGTTATAATCAGGCTTAGACAAGTTTGTTGACTTTTCTTTTTCTGTGCTAATTTATTTAATTTATTTCAGTAATTCAACTTAAAAGGTGAAACTAATATATTATATAGACTCATTACATGCAAAGTGAGATATTTCAAGCCTTTATTTGTTATAATTTTGATGATTATGGCTCACAGCTTATGAAAACCCCAAATTCAAAATTAGAATATTGTAAAAAGGTTTTCATAGCTCTAAGCCATAATCAACAAAATTAACAAATAAAGGCTTGAAATATCTCACTTTGCATGTAATGAGTCTACAGTATATAATATATTAGTTTCACCTTTTAAGTTGCATTACTGAAATAAATTAACTTTTGCACAATGTTCTAATTGTTCTAGAGTTTCACCAGTAGGGCAAGCAGTTTGGAAAATGGATGGATGTAGTTTTGTGTTTAAATGTATTTATTTTGATATTTGGTTTTAGGAAAAATCCGAACCAGGTGGACACGAGGACTACTCGAGTGTTAATGGAAGTAGCTGAGCTCCACCGAAAGCATCTGGGAGGTCAGCTCCTCTTTGGGCCTGATGGGCTTCTGCACATATTTTTAGGTGATGGCATGATCACTTTGGACGATATGGAGGAGATGGATGGTCTAAGGTACAGTATTGAATGCAGTAACGGTGATAAATCAAGCTCTATTAATGAGTCAAGCTATGAGGCTAAATAGTGATTTCAGCATTGTTTTAAATATGTTCAATGGAGTGTTTCTCTGCCATAGTGATTTCACAGGATCTGTCCTTCGAGTGGATTTGGACACAGATAATTGTAGTCCGCCCTACTCTATACCCAGAAACAACCCCTATTTTAACAGCACAAATCAGCCCCCTGAAATCTTTTCCCATGGACTGCATGACCCAGGAAGGTAAGGTCAAATACTTCACTGACTTTCCTTTCTAAAAAAACCCCAAAACAATTTATAGCCAAATGTAAGGGGACATTCAAACATCACATTAATTGTCGGGCATTTAATTTAAAAACCACTGATAATTTGGGAGTCTGTCCCTCCTAACAGCTGCTCTATGAAGTCTTTCCATTATATGTTGTAAAATGGATGTGAGAATTTGCACCCATTCAGACTTGAACATCAGTGAGCTCAGAAAACGGGTCTGGCTTCCAGTTCATTGGGGTTCAGATCTGGGCTTTGTGCTGGCTAGTCCTCTACTACAGACGCAGTAAATCATTTCTTTATGGACCTCGCTTTGGAAAAGGGCCCACCCAAACTGTTACCACAAAGTTGGAAGCACACAGTTCTCTAGAATGTAATTGTGTGCCATAAACTTAAGATTTTTCTGGAATTAAGAGACCTTGCCAAAACTATGAATTAGAATTATATATTGTATAATTAAATGAATGGTAATATAAAAAAAATATCAGTGTTGTTTACATTGCCGCTGTCTTTGTCATGATTCTGCCCTCGTGTCCTTGATTTTCTCTAGTCTTGAGGTAGGATCATGACAGACCCATGTTTTGTGTGCAAGCACATGGCCTTTTGTTTGGGCCATGTGCTTGTGTTGTCTCGTTACCTTACCCCGCCCCCTTGTTCTCCTCGTTAGCCATTATTGTTTCATCTGTGTCACCTGCTGTCATCATTAGTTTCTCCTATTTTATCCCCTTGTGTTTGCTGTCCTGGGTCGGTTCATTTTCATACCTTACCTGTATCATTCCTTGTAAAAAAGTTCTGATCCTGTATCTACTGTTTGTTTGTCGTCAAGTAATCTGTCAAGTCTTAGTCAAAGTTTAGTCCTGTCTATGTTTTGCTCCCTCGTGGGTTTTGTTTCCCCTTGTTTTGTCCTACAATAATAATAATAATAATAATAATTCATTACATTTATATAGCGCTTTTCTAGGCACTCAAAGCGCTTCACATAGAAGGGGGAATCTCCTCAACCACCACCAATGTGCAGCATCCACTTGGATGATGCGACGGCAGCCATATTGCGCCAGAACGCCCACCACACACCAGCTTACTGGTGGAGAGGAGACAGAGTGATAAAGCCAATTAGTGTATATGAGGATGATTAGGAGCCATGATGGACAGAGGCCACTGGGCAAATTTGGCCAGGATGCCGGGGTTACACCCCTACTCTTTCGAAAGACATCCTGGGATTTTTAATGACCACAGAGAGTCAGGGCCTCGGTTTAACGTCTCATCCGAAGGACGGTGCTCTTTGATAGTATAGTGTCCCCATCACTATACTGGGGCGTTAGGACCCACACAGACCACAGGGAGAGCGCCCCCTGCTGGCCTCACTAACACCTCTTCCAGCAGCAACCTGGTTTTCTCAGAAGGTCTCCCATCCAGGTACTAACCAGGCTCAGCCCCGCTTAGCTTCAGTGGGCAACCAGTCTTGGGCTACAGGGTGATATGGCTGCTGGCTAATAAAGTGTGTGTGTTAAGCATCCTGTCTGCGCTTGGGTTCATCTCTGTAAATCATAAAAGTCTTGAAAAATTAATTTACAAATAATAATTTGTGTTCTAGGTGTGCAGTGGATAAGCTCCGCATGGACACCAATGGGAGTCTGCTGATTCTGTGCACAGATACTGTTGGCAAAAATACGACAACAGGCAGGATTCTACAGGTCATCAAAGGGAAAGACTATGGTATGCCTGTTAGACGTGGCTGATTTCTGAAAACATGATGAATTACTGTACAGACAGAAAGGCTTTTCAACAAGCAAAGTAGTTCCAACCAGGCAACCACTCAAGAAGTTTCTGTATTGTGTTTTAGAAAGCATTAAATTATCAGTCCATGTAGTGGTTATACTTATTATGTTAAGTTTTTATGCTGAGAACAGTGTCTTCAATGGAATGAGGGGACACTCCAAAAAAAAGATTTAAGACTTTCTGTAAAAACCGATCAACGCGTTATTCAAAAATACCATTGCAATACTATTGTTTCACAACGTGAGACCACACTTTAAATATGAAAATAATTTTCATTCCTGGGAGCATGCAAGCACATATACAACAATATAATTTATCGCTGTCAAAAAGTGTTTATATGGTCATTTAGTGCATTGTTGAAACAGAATGACCAGCATAGCAGTTCTTCTCTCATAGTCGTTCTAAGACCTTAAATCAATACCAGAAGTGAATTATATATATATAATTTCCTATGGCCAAAGAAATGGATTGGCTTTCTTGTACTCCTTACACATTGGCAGCAAACAAATATGGCTCTCTCCCAACCAATGCATTTAAACCCCAAAAAGATTGTCTCACAAGTGTGCCAAATTACCCCAAACACCAGGCTCTTTATGATGTTAAACCATCACCATGGTGAATGACTTACTTCATTAAATCACATTTTGTTGTTTTACTGGGCTCTGACTGTAACATTATAATACTCGCCATTCCCTAAGCTGCTGTAATCTTTGTAGCCATACAAACTTACAATACGCAACAATACGCAAACACTCAATAGTAATTGTAGGATTACCTCACCCATTCTCCGTTCCTTTCGCGTCCATTCCCTAATCTATTTGAGCTATAATGTGAACTTAACAGTGCTCAAACTAAATGTTAATAAGGACATTTAGTGAAATGAACACAGCCCTCCATATCAAGTTTACATAGTGTTTTTATAACCGTCTGGGGAATAGCTAATTAAAACCACTCTGTGTGAAGTGCTAATGGTCTCTTGACAGATTGTGGTAAACATGGATATCCCTTACACAAACAAAGGAAACTGTTATTATGGTTATAAATCAACTTTGCAACATATGTAGGGTGGTGATTGAAGACATTTAGTTTGTTAAATGTGTAAAATTGAGTTATCTAAACAATACAGATGATTAGGGTTCATTTCATTTAACTCAAATAACCCATAAAACCTGTTGCTTGGTTTTGCTTTTTTTCCTTAATAGTGAGTTGTTGGTATGTCTGCCCACAGAAAATGAACCATCTATATATGACATGGGGTCAAATGGAGGTGCCACCCCAGTTGGTGGATTCATTTACAGGGGATGTCAGTCAAGAAGACTTTATGGAAGTTATGTATTTGGAGACAAAAATGGGTAAGTTCAATTATTATAGGATGTGATATTATAATTATTAATTATGCTAAACTACTTTCTATCTGTGCACTCCTAGTACAACTTGGTATGTATCTTTAATTTATTTAAACACAGTCAGAGACTGAAATAGTTATGTTTCCAAAAAAAGAAATACAAGATATTGAGCTCCCAATGAGGAAAAAGATTTTTTTCAGAGTAAATTGAGAGCAGGTTTCCTGCCAGGTCAATTGGCCACCGGTATGTTTTTCACACTTTGCACTGATTTGTAATTCATCCTCCTTCACTATCAGCCTGCCGTTTTTTGTCAACAGTGAGAGATAAACTGTAGAAAAGAAATTGTTCCTAGAAAATCCAAAGCAGTAAATAATCCCTAATGTTTTGTCATGTTTTGTTTTATGTTTTGTAATAACCAAGATGTTCACTCAAGTCTGGGGCATCATAAATGATAGACAGCAAAGAGTATTGTATTTATGATTTAAACCCCTGACTGTATGATTGTTTCAGGAACTTCAGAATTCTCCAGAGGCCTTCAGAAGACAGATTGTGGCAAGAGAAGCCTCTTTGTCTTGGTACTAGCAGTTCCTGTGGTTCCTCGCTGGTAGGCCACATCCTAGGGTTTGGCGAAGATGAATTAGGTCAGTGAGCTCTCAATAAGCTTTATTCATTTCACCGCAAATTTTGTGTGCTTCTGTCGTAACCTTTTTTCATGGTTATGTCAAGGTTTCTTTAAAAACTGTTTTATGCAAAGTATTAGGGCTGGGCGATATGGCCAGAGATACCATATCATACGATATCGATCATTAAAGGGGGAAGGAAATACTTTCCACATATTTGTTAGACCTTGAGAATGAATGTAAACTTGTTTGTTCACAATTAAACTCCACATAATACAGTAGTCAACATTTGAAGTGGATCAAAAATGGTCATCAAAGACAAGAACGGGTATTGTTCAAAATTCATGTATAACTTTGATGAAAGGTTTTGATGTACTTCAAATGTTTACTTCTGTATTTAACTTTTAATTGAGGGCCCCATGAAATCCATTTAATTTTCCCAAAATTCTGTGTTTTCCATTTTATTTTTATGGAATCTGTGCTTTATGATTTAATACAAATTTATATAAACTTTAACAATTTAATCAAGCTTTTAAAATGTAATCAAATGAAAATATAAAAGTTAATTTACAACAGAACATTGCATTTTTATTTTTTGTCAAATAAGATGCTACGCACCAGGGGCCTCATTTATAACCGTTGCGTACGCACAAAGCAGGCCCTGAAAGAGGCGTACGCCACTTCCGACCAACAAGTTGTGATTTTTAAAAACAAACTTGACGGGAAAATTTGCGCACTTGCATGCAAACTCTGACCCATGCGTACGAACGTTTTGGAGATGGAGCAGTTTGGAGACACCCGATGGTGAGCTGGAGTTAAATGTCTTGTTGGTCACTTTTAGACAGAAAATTTAAAGAAAATTATACATATACAGAAAGATAATACAAATATAATTTCACTCACCAAGCCTATCACGTTGAAGCAAATATTCATCCCTTCTTAAATGTCCGCGCCAGCGAGCGCGTTGGGCCGTTTAGTAAAACTGACGCATATATAGCCTATCTAACGGCAGATTAAGTAAAACCGTAAATCTTTATTATGAGTTCTAATCATAAATACAGTGCATGTTCACAATAAAAGTTTAAATAAATAAAAGAATGATTTAAACTAAGTTTTACTCCTGATTTAAACATTTAGATTAAATATGCCATTCTCATTAATGGAGTTAAACACTTACATTACATGAAATCATTACTGAGAAGTTACAACATTTTTTATATTCAATCAATAGAAATATTTGTAGTGGATGCGATGCTTATCACGATAATAGCAGATTGTCTGAGAAAATATTTTTGTGGAAATAATGCACAACAAAGGCCTATCTGTCTCCATTAAAAATATAAATCAATTAAAAATACTATTTGGCCAGTGGAAAAGATTGAGAAAAACTTTCTCTGAAATGTATTTTACACTATTTGATTTATTTATTCAAAAACAAGGCAAGGATAGGCTACTAAATGATTTTTATTACTGTAATGTGACGGCACATCCGTATCTCATATTGTCCTAATGTCTTGTACCGTTAAACATGTTATCACGTGGAAGAAGAATCATTATGCAAATGACATGCAGATGAGGATAGGCGTTGTAAGCTCCATACATGGTTATTTCGGGGAGGAGATGTGCACACAATCTTACGCTGACTGGGATTTATAAAGTGAATTCTGCGCAGGTTCTGGCGTACGCACGGTTTTATAAGTCTGAATATTTTTATGCGTACGCCATTTTTGGCTTTCGGGCGCACGTACACTTAGTAAGGATCCTACGCACAGTTTTATAAATGAGACCCCAGAACTGTATAAATTTAAAACATCGATGAAAAAATATCCTGGTTGTATGATATTCCTTAGAAATAATATTATTATCATTATTATAATACTTTTAGAAGTACATTTTAGTATAGAGTAGTGATATATTTCAGTCATAATTTCAAACTTTTATTTTGACGGTTTGTCATGAAGATATTTTAGTTTTAGTGCATTTGAAGGTAGTTTTTGAATGGTGAAAAGCTTGTGAAGTAACTCTCAAAGCAGCTCATGTGTTCATGTCCTCATATATTGAGACGGCAGACGCTGAAAACACTGTGAGAGTCACATGTGTGTGAGTTTGTGTATCAGACGAAACCACGCCATTTATTCACAGAGACACAAATAAATCCCTTATAAACAACATGTACTGACTGGTTGTTGTCAAATTTATTTCTGCTGTGTGATTGGCTGTTAGATTAATCAATATCGAGTAAAAATGTCCCGAGCTTATTATCATTATCGACATAAATTTGTAATGATATATCATGTATCACCCAGCCCTACAAAGTATATACGTTACTGTTCAAAAGTTTGGGGTTAGTAAGATTTTTGGTTTTTGCTTATTCAACAAGGATCCATAGATATTTTTTTGTAACTAGGTAAAATACTTATGAAAAATTGCATTTCAAATAAGTGCTCTTCTTTTAAACTTTCTATTCTTCAAAGAATCCATCCTGAAAAAATGTTTTCCACAAAAATATTAATTCACAAGTTCACACTTACATACAATTAAAGGGAATAAAGTATAATGCGTATTTGGCGTGCTGTCCGGGGGGAGGGCTCCGAGCTCGGAATTTGGCCCGAACCCAGAGTACTCCCCCCCCTGTATGTAAGATGGTTTAGGACTAGCAGAGTGGAGAAGGGGTGGTGGAGGGACTCTGCTAAACTGTCAGAGAAATGAGGTGAGACTGCTGAGTCTATATGTACACATTTTAATCATGATTGCTGAGTCCTCTCCACCCGTGTTAATTATCTGAACGTGCTTCTCCCGAACTTTGTTAATGAAACATCATTTTAATCATGATTGCTGAGTGCTCTCCACCCGTGTTAATTATCTGAACGTGCTTCTCCCGAACTTTGATAATAAAACATCATATGTTAACAGTTTTTTTACTATGATAATACGACAAAAGGAGTAATGACTGCTAACAATGATGCTTTGCCATGACAGGAATACATTACATTTTAAAACATTAAAATAGACACCAGTTATTATAAATTCTACAATATCAGTGTTACTGCATTTTAAAAAAAAAATCTTAATGACCCCAAACTTTTGAACAGTAGTGTAAATACAGACATTTTTCAAAAGAACTAATGCAAAAAAAAGCAAACAAAGGATTTGTTTAGTTTAGACAAGGTCAAATAAAGCGATCGTTTAATATTAAAATGTGTATACCGTAGTCACAGGAAGGAAGGAAAAAATGCTGCTGGAATCCAAGAATCATCTGAATGATACAGAACAGAAAGAAAACCAATCCCTTGTCCTACCTCCCTCTTTCAAATATCTTTCCTCCAAGGAACATTCTGGAATGACACAGTACTCCTTTAGTTTCCTGACAGATTACTTCCTCTTTTTTTGCTGCTGACAGACGGTATGATTGGAAATCAAAGGTCAGCGTAATCTGTCAGCATATAGGGTTTATATGCACAATCTGCTGCCTTTCCTTACGTGCACATTTAACATTGGTAACAACTGATTTTTGGCACTAGAATGGTAAAGGGGTTCATTTATGTGAACTTGACGCCAGCCCCTCTGACAGTGCATTGCGAAAGCAAAGTTATGCCCACTCGCTGCTGCTAGGCTGTACTCTCTGCCACCATGTAATATCCCCACAGCTCAGTGCATCACAGGGAACATAAACTCTCGAATCCAAACACCAGGTCAAGTGTGACAGAGAATAAATCTCATGCTTTGCCAAGAGTGGGCCTCTGTGAGGGAGAGATAGCATTTGTTGCTGATTTGTAAGAGGGATTCAGTGGAAGGGCTGTACTGGAGACCCACATGGCAGTCTCCTGACACATGTTTACAATCTGTGCACAGTGCTGCAAGCTTGCTCCTCATTAAATTACTTGCATAAGGATTTAATGAGCCCCTCTCGAAACCCTCTCATACACCAGTGTCAAGTGCACCGAGTAGGAAGGAAGGAAGGTGAGAGAAGACAAATGAGATCCCTCAAAGACCTAAATGTTTTCTTTCCTCTGCAGGTGAGGTCTACATCCTTGCTTCCAGCAAAAGCACGGCGATACAGTCGCACAGCGGAAAACTCTACAAGTTGGTGGACCCCAAAAGGTGCGTTGAGCTTTGAATACACAGAGCAACATATTGTATACAAAAGAGGTTATGCATCAGCCTCTGTTTTTCCGTTTTCATTGCTCGTATGTAAAAAATATGTGATGTTACTGCTGAGCAATGCTAATATTGAAACTCGCATAATTAATTCCATTTTTAGTCCGCTTTACAAAACATCCCGTGGCATTCTTCTTACATGATATGCTTTGCACATCTGCGTAGTTAGTTCATACCAAGAGAGTGAAGATCATTCTAAAGAATGTTAAAACTGGTTTTGTTCTTGCAATGACAGTCAATGGGGTCTGAAACAACATTGAACTGTGTGAACATTGAACCTTTCATTGTGTGGACAAAAAAAATAGCTTCCCTTTGACTTCCACCGAAGAAAGAAATACAGGTTTGAAACGACATACGGGTGAGTTAATAATGACAGAATGTTCATTTTTGGGTGAACTATCCCATTAAAGCATTACTTGTTTTCACTCACACGCACGCACAAGGAGTCTAGCTTCCCTTAAACAAATCATCACACAACTGCCAGTCTTGGCCAACACAAACCTCAGCCATAATTGGAGAGTAAGCATACCATTTCCAAATGTTAGTGTAACGTGTTTCTAACACCAACACAGTCAAGTTGGCTCGGACAGCGCTGGTTAACTAGTGAGCCTGTGTGGTCGGTTGGGTGTTTTCCTTGCTTTGACAGGACTTACACACCTGTCTTCAACAGAGGGAATGTTTTCCTTGAAAACCTTGAGTATGTCCATATTTTGGTGAATCTGCAGACGAACAAAATGTACCCATTTTACGCACATGTGCAGGGGTTCACGGCAAGAGATTCAACGCATGTGAATGGAGTCAGTTAAAGGATTTAATCATTTCTGTATGCTCATGGGCTTTTTTTAATATGCCGTAATTTACCCCGTGTGTTTTACACCACTAAAAGACACTTTTATGATAGATCTTGAAAATATGTTCTCACCACGCCAAGTACATATGAAAGGCATATCATCTATTAGAAAAGAGCATATGAATTCCCACATAACAACTGCCAAAAGTGTTTGCATTTTTAATAGATCCGATATATCATTTCCAGAAAAAAGGGACATTACAATAGGCACAGGCAGATCTGTTGTGTCTCTAATTCAAACCAATCGCTCATGAATCTTGTTTTTGTGCTTTCTACGCCATTTAAAATCCTTTTGCTGGACCTTTTTACACCGTTAGAACTAAATAAATTACTCACAATTTTCAGGTGAAATAATTTAAAAACTTGAACAGAATATTTTTTTTAATTCTTGAATTGTTTTTTGTTGTTGTGGAAAATTAGCTTATTTAGTCTGTCATATGTCAAAGCATTGAAATTCAAAACAGCTGAAAAATCTCACATTTTAATCATTTGCAGATCCACCTTGCATCTTCTGTTAATTTACACAGTTGTATGGTTCTAATGAGGGCACAATTCTATCACAGTTGGTCTTATGTAAACTCTAAAAAAAAAAAAAAAAAAAAAAAAAAAACCTAATCTGAATAAAATGTAAATGTCTCATTTATAATAGTCATCCTTATTTAAGTGAGGACTGAAGGCTGTAAAAAAAAAAGAAAACTAACTTCCAGAGAAAAGTACAAAATAATATCCAAATTAATATCTAAGAGGTGGATTGTCAGTTCAATTATCTGGAAGTTGAAGCAACCCAGACAGTGACTAGGTTGTTCCTCTAAACTCTAAACCATACAAACAAGCAGAGAGGCTAATGATCACTTTGGAGAAAGCTACAAAGTTCAGTTTTTAAGAACCAGGCAGAGGTGCACTAGTCAATTATATGATAAGAGTTATTTGTAACACTGACAGGTATAGGGGACCATTGATACGGCACATCTGAAGTTTTGCTTAGTAGTGGCCATGTTGCAGTTTTGGTCCAGATAAGACCTAAATTCAAAGCAATGTGTGTGGCACAAATCTTACACTGGCCACATCTTGGTGTACACTACCTGCAGTGAAGTATGCTGGTGAACGCATCATGGGTGGCTATGTTTCATCAGCAGGAAATGGGTATCTTGTTAAAAATAAAGAGAAATATGTATCAGTCTGCAAAAATTACAGTAACAAAAATGTCAGTGTCCCACCCTCTCAAAGTCCATTCTCAAACCAAACATTTTTCCAGTCCAAACTGAAACCTGGAGCAAATCTGCCTGGAAGAATGAGTCAATAATATCATATTTAAATAAATAGAAATTGCCATTCCTGCAAAAAGTGACTTTTAAAAATATTATAAATAAAATAAATAAAAGATTTTGTTTATTGAATCATTATGCAAACTATGAAATGCAAATATTGCAGAGAACATTTACTTGTAGGAATTCAGCAAGGATTGAGAGAAAATTGCTTGAAAGCCTGAATATTTTTGCAAGGCACTGTATACCCAGGTGACGACAGTGCCACCCAAGTCTAATGCTATTAATTACCACAGATGTTTCCATGATTCTCCTAAACAAGGCCCCTCAAACTTACTTTATTTATGTTTGCTGGCATTGCTGCATTTTTCCAAAGAACAATTCTTTCCACCATTGATTGGAGTTGTTTAGTCTGTCAGACCTGTGGTGTTGGGTTCACTGTTTTATACATCTTGTCACTTTTTGTGATCTAATTACCAAATAAAAGAGGTGATATAACAATTCTGAGGGACTAGCACTGTCAAGTGGGGTGGTCCAGCATTTACATTTCAAGTATCTACATTTACATCTTTTCTGTACCCTTTAACCTTTGCGTTCTGGCTAGGGTTGAGAGCTTCAAAATAGCCACGTTGTTTTGATTTTGATCTGCTGCATTGCATTTTTGGGTTGTTCAACTGTGTGGTAGGAGAGAGTGTTAAATATCATATCATATAAAAGTCTAGTGTTTGAGATGACTGCACGCATCTGAATTTGTTTAGCAGTCCTTTACTGTAGAATAATAAATAGGCCACCACACATTGAAATGTATGCATGTCGATGTCAAATGTGGACAAGAGAGACTGTAAGATTGTTTATTGGCCGGCGGCAATAACTGAGAATATGCCAGTAACTGAACTATGTATGAATTGTTTTGGTAATATTAAACATAAACTGATGCACATCCTCAGTCTTAATCCATTTTTTTTTACTAGTCCATTGTATTCCGTATTGAAATCAGTAGCGGCTCCTGGTCGTAAATTTAGGTAGGGCAGTTTCTGGGTCTTAGAGCTAGTTTATGATAAACATTTTGTAAGCTTTATATTCTAATCGCTGAACGCATGCAGAACACTTTTGGCAGATAAGGCTATTCACATGAGCACATTTTAACTAAATCATTGATCATTAATTCATTTGATTTCATTTATTTGATTTTCATTAATTTCATTCATTTAATTCACTACTCCAGATAGGAAAAACAGAGGGATTGTTAGGGTGTGTTCATACATTTAGTCCTGGTCCGCTCAGTGTTCACATTTGGCATTTTTAACACCAAACCTAAAGATACCGAACTTAACGGCATAGGGATGCGTTCACAATCTGATTGGTCAGCTTTTATGGCGTATATTTCAGGACGGAACTTACCAAACATGCAAAACAATGCTGTGTGCTGGGCTAAATGCACTCGTTGTATGTGCGTAGCCTACATGATGGTATTTTGACCAGCTGAGAACTTGTGAAAAGCTTATAAAATGTGTGAATGAGTCAAAACAGCGACTATGATGAGAAAAAACAAGGTATGCTTGAGCATTCTGATCTTTTTAGGGTTGCATCTTGTGACATCATGTCCTGTTTTTGGCTCATTTGCACTTGTTTGGTGCGCACCAGGGTTCGGATGGTAGCGTTCACACTTATTCAAAAGAACCGCACTAACAGAGCAATCATACCATGGTTCGTTTTAATCGAACCAAACATGCAAAGTGTGAACATACCCTTTCTGACCTGATGCAGACTAATATACACATAGCTGCTGAAGTGGATTGATATTGTCTTGGTCTGGAGGTAATATTACGTAAGGTAACGTGAAAATAAGCGGGGCAGCCCCAATGGCTCTCAATTAAGTGTGCTGCAGTTCCATTTTTCTGTAGGGCGCTGTAGAGCTGGTTAGGGTTGAGGCATAAAATATATACACTCACCTAAAGGATTATTAGGAACACCATACTAATACTGTGTTTGACCCCCTTTCGCCTTCAGAACTGCCTTGATTCTACGTGGCATTGATTCAACAAGGTGCTGAAAGCATTCTTTAGAAATGTTGGCCCATATTGATAGGATAGCATCTTGCAGTTGATGGAGATTTACGGGATGCACATCCAGGGCACAAAGCTCCCGTTCCACCACATCCCAAAGATGCTCTATTGGGTTGAGATCTGGTGACTGTGGGGGCCATTTTAGTACAGTGAACTCTTTGTCATGTTCAAGAAACCAATTTGAAATGATTCGAGCTTTGTGACATGGTGCATTATCCTGCTGGAAGTAGCCATCAGAGGATGGGTACATGGTGGCCATAAAGGTATGGACATGGTCAGAAACAATGCTCAGGTAGGCCGTGGCATTTAAACAATGCCCAATTGGCACTAAGGGGCCTAAAGTGTGCCAAGAAAACATCCCCCACACCATTACACCACCACCAGCCTGCACAGTGGTAACAAGGCATGATGGATCCATGTTCTCATTCTGTTTACGCCAAATTCTGACTCTACCATCTGAATGTCTCAACAGAAATCGAGACTCATCAGACCAGGCAACATTTTTCCAGTCTTCAACTGTCCAATTTTGGTGAGCTCTTGCAAATTGTAGCCTATTTTTCCTATTTGTAGTGGAGATGAGTGGTACCTGGTGGGGTCTTCTGCTGTTGTAGCCCATCCGTCTCAAGGTTGTGCGTGTTGTGGCTTCACAAATGCTTTGCTGCATACCTCGGTTGTAACGAGTGGTTACTTCAGTCAAAGTTGCTCTTCTATCAGCTTGAATCAGTCGGCCCATTCTCCTCTGACCTCTAGCATCAACAAAGCATTTTCGCCCACAGGACTGCCGCATACTGGATGTTTTTCCCTTTTCACACCATTCTTTGTAAACCCTAGAAATGGTTATGCGTGAAAATCCCAGTAACTGAGAAGATTGTGAAATACTCAGACCGGCCCGTCTGGCACCAACAACCATGCCACGCTCAAAATTGCTTAAATCACCTTTCTTTCCCATTCTGACATTCAGTTTGGAGTTCAGGAGATTGTCTTGACCAGGACCACACCCCTAAATGCATTGAAGCAACTGCCATGTGATTGGTTGATTAGATAATTGCATTAATGAGAAATTGAACAGGTGTTCCTAATAATCCTTTAGGTGAGTGTATATATACCCTGCTCACTTTACGATTTAAATAGAAAAAAATTTTGTTGCAGAGTGCTTAACACATTTACAATTTATTATTGATTTAGTTAATATTTAGTTTAATAATATTTTGGCGGGACTCTGCCCCACCTGCCCTTACAGACGAGCCGCGGCTGATTGAAATTGTATCTCAGTTGGTGTACTCTTATAAGCAATTTAGCTTAGCAAGCAAAGTTCATCACATGTAAAATACTAGAAGTGAGAACTTAGTAGTGATTATTTTGGAATATACACTCTGTTCTGACAGCTGTATAAGATCATCCACAAGAAATGTTTGAGAAATGCATCACAGGAACACATTTCTTATTGCTTCTTCACTAGAATAGTTGTATGCCTTGCAGGATTTTGGTTGAGTGTTACTTGAGTGACTTCTGAAGTGACTTATTAATTCAGCATCAGGACGGAAGTTATGTCAAAAAGCAAATATAACAATGTATATTCCTTGACTTTGGATTTTGTTGGCTAAATGTATTGATTAGGTTCCGTAGAAGTGCTTTTCTGTAGCGATATGGAGGTTAAAAAATGTATATAGGCCTAAGTGTGTGTCAAGATATACAAACACTTTAAATAGTGCTCACATTCTCCTGGTCCCCATCTCTGACAAGTCTCCTTTATTTCATGGGCCGTCCTAAATCTCTCCCGCTCACAACCGTGTACCTCCCCTTAACAAAGACCCTTAGGGGTGGTACTGAATGGCCTACAGCTACAATACACAGTAAATTTTTTGATACAATGTATCCACAAAGAGGTGCTAACAAAAGAGAGAGATGACAAAAAGGACAGAGGAGTCACACAGAGTGCCTTGATGAAGCCTTATTTTTTCATGCTCGAACACTCCTGAGCTCTTCACCCCTCTACCCGGTGCACTTTCATCAAATAACTCAACTGCTTCTTACTATCAAAGCCAACAAGTTAAGCCAAGAGATATTAAACTGTCTTCTCAGAGAAAAGCTCAAGAGATACCGGACTCATTACCCATGAGTGGTCGCACACAGAATTTGAATTCCTCAGAAAGCTCTGCAGATTTCCACAGAATTGTATTCATTCACCAAGTTCTACATGACTCTCATCCCTTGCGTTTTCAGTTATGAAATATTGTGGCTTATCAATTATGCTTTTAGTTACCAATAAGTGTCTAGTATTCTTAAGTTCAACACTGTTCAACAATCTAAATCGATTTCACATAATTCAACAATACTACTTCTAAAATCAGCATAAGAGGAACCAAAAAATCCACAACTTCCACGACTTTGACTTCCTCAGCGTCGGTGTTGATTTCTGCCTAGGTGGAAAATGCAGAACAGGTATGAAAACTGGTATTATGGATAGCATATTGTGCCAAACAATCCTTGGATTCACAAAAAGAGTGGTTGGGCTGCTGATGTGTTCAACCTCCCATTCAAGCTACAGGACAGTCTTAAACTAATAAGCTGGGGCGTTCTTTTAATTTATCAGTCTGTGTTTTATGCAAGTGGCCTCACAGAGTTGATACATTCCCACAGTGCCTGTTGACCCAGCTGTCTTTGTCAAGTGCCACGGCAGCAGGTGTTGTTTTCATGGCCACCCTGCCAGTAATACAAACTGTTTAGTAGTGCCGCTGACCCCAACGTCATTAACAGTGTTAGCCCAATCCTCTAGGGAGCGCCTCTTTCTCTCCTTACCCTCCCTCTTTCTTTTTCACTATCCATTTCTATTTCTTTCTTCCTCATCTTTTCTGTCTCCCTGTTTTTTAACAACGTAACAGCCTGTCACAACAACACACAAAAAAAAAAAAAACAACAAAGTGTTGATGAGAGACAAGGGAGACCTGATTTGGTTGCGGAAAGCGTTAGAGGGGAGCATGGGAACTGCTCCCCCACTAGACCCCCCAGTGTATCCTGCCAGAATTCCCTTGTTACCACCCAATTCCTGCCATCAGTCACTAAAGCTGTCAGGGAAACTGAGAGATCCAACATCCCATTATCTAATAGACACTCATAAGGCTGTTTCACACTGTCCTAATGAACACCAACATCCAATGGTTGTTGGGTTTGGTTAAACCTGTTTCAGTTTGTTAAACCTGTTGGCGTTTGTTGTCAACTAATTAACATGTTCGGTCAATGTTTGGAATATCACACTTCATTGCGAACTATTGTCATGACAAGGTAAGCATCCCTGCCAGCTTTATAGAAACAAATGTGCACAGCAGCGGCAACTGCCTTGGTGGAGCAGAAGAAATAGGACTATCAATCACAATTTATCAAAATGGTTTAGGTCAATGTATTAAAACAATGAAAACAAAACAATTTATGTCATTGCTGGACTATGGAACGGTGTTAAAATAGGTTAAAAAAAAATATATATATATATATATATATATATATATATTAAAGGATTAAGATATGTACAATTATGTCATCATTTACATAATGTCCTTCTAAATATGTAAGACTTTCATTTATCTTCAAACAAATGACAAAAAAATGGCCATCCCTTAAAAGTCCATTCAGCAAATCCGTACATGTATCAAGTACAAAAAGACACCGTAAAAGTAATCCATGTGACTTGAACAGATTATTCCAAGTCTTCTGAAGAGATACAATCACTTTATATGATGAACAGATATGATTTTGGCTTTTAATCATGCATAAAAATTGCACATACATAGAGCTCATCAAATACGGTAAACATGGAACCATACTTGATTAATGCATGAGAACCAATGAGGTTTGTTGGTACTTTCATTGGTACTGTAGCTTGGTATGAGATGTGTATCAAACTGGAGTGAAGTACTTTCAATCCTGGGCTCTCAGTCTAAACCATTAAAGGTACCTTCTGCACCACTAGTGGCATGAAAAACATAAAATGTAAAAACAATACACTGACCGTGAATAACCACCTCAATTACATACATTTAGAAGAGAAACGGCTGTGGAAATAAATGAGTATCTCTTAGTCTTACTGTTAACTAAAGGAAATCTAACCTGCGAGCCGGAGGTTATGGTCTAAAGGGGATGGGCTCTAACTGATCAAATAGATTTTGAGTCTCTGCACATTAAACTGCTTTTGGTATTTTTACATAGAAAAAAAATGACACACTTCACCCTTAAATACTGTGATTCTACTTTCATTCTTTCCACAACCCTCAGTGTTAAGCACAGAATCTTTGGCCACCTAACTTTCCAATACACCACCTCCAGTGAGATACACAGGATGTGAACTCACCAAGAGCTCTCCAGCCTGTTTCCCATAGAGTTACTGCTTCACTGGAGTCCAATTACAGTGTGTTTGTGTGTGTGTGCTGGCCTGTTGGGTATGTCAACAGCCCTGCTGCTCACTAATAGACAGCCTTCAAGAGATTTGACTGGCTCATTAAGCAGTGTTTTTAGCTGAGTGATGCATTAGAATGTTTGGAGAGTCGAACTTCGGACAGGTTCATCACAAGCAACTTACTTTGACACTGAGGTTTTACATTTGAAAATCATTACACACAAAAGCATTATTGTTTCCAGACATTGCCATGCAGAGCCTGAATTTTGTTGTGGGATTGTAGGTATTGTTCATAGTGCATTATATTTCCACACACATTCATTTTAGGTTATATAGGTATAGGTGAGAATAATTAATCCACAAAGATCAAACTAATCAAATCAATAATTATGTCTTTCTGTCTGACTGTTCATCCGAAGTAGCATCTTTTCTCACACTTACTGTACAGCACTTCTGTTATAGACAGACAGCAAGATGAAACGTAAATGAACATTTTGTGAACATTAAATTAACTTTTTCAATTACTCTATAAAAATTCCTATGGTGAATATTTACTTGTATTCTAGTAATTGTCAATGGCTTATTTTGTAGAAAGTTTCTGTGAAACAACAGCATATAAAAAGATCAGCATACAATTGCATTCCACAAGTGACAGTGAATAAATATTGATTATAAAAGATTGATTATTTTTCACAGCGATTAAAAATCAGAGGCAACAATTGAGAGATAGACAAACATTCAAGTGTATGGATGTCTTTGTATATGGATGCACCAATAATAAAATTATGGACAATACCAATAAGCCGATAGTAATTTTTATACATTATTATTAAAAATAATACACTAACATTTTTAAATCAGTCATCACATATTATGTAAATGCCAAAATGGGGTCTGTCTGTTAAGGGGTTAATGTACTTGCAGTATTTTTACTTTTGATAAAGTCTTATAAATCACTCCATATATCAAAAGTTAGCATGATGCCCTACCATCATAGGCTCATTTGTCTTTATACAAGTTTTCCACATGTTTGCTTATTTATGAAATGCTATGCTTTATGAAGGCATTATGAAATACTATGTGTTTGCATGTTTGGCAATTTGTGAGCTGGATTTTGTGAGACCCCTTGTTGACCATCAATGCTCTGTGACTCCTGCAGGCCACAGGTCCCTAAGGAGTGCAGACGGCCGGTGGAGGATCCAGAGATGCTAAGCACCACTTGCTCCCGTGAATGCAAGAACGGCCACTGTACACCCACTGGCAAATGCTGCTGCAGTGCTGGCTGGGAGGGCCCCTTCTGCTTACGAGGTACAGAGCCAATCAGAGCACTTTCCCTTTGTCTTTGATTTCAAAGTTGCATAAACCTCCAACCTCTTTCAATATTTTTTCAACTTATTTCTGCTTTTGCTTGTCATTCGCAGCCAAATGCGAACCCATCTGTCGTAACGGTGGAGTCTGCGTGGAGCCCAACAAGTGTCTCTGCAAGGAAGGATTCTCCGGCGGTCAGTGTGAGAAAGGAGAGCGAGGAACACGAGGGGACGGTGAGAAAGACAGCATCCTGGAGCACATCATTGACATGACATCTTACCTGCTGGACCTCACCAGTTATATTGTATAAAAAGTAGGGCTGGATGATAATGCGCTCTTCACCGGTTGGCAGACTGAACGTTACGGAGGCCTTTCAGAGTTTGCCTTCAGGACACCATCCCCAATCTCCAACTGCCCCTCACCTGATCCTCCTCTCCCACCACTGTTCGTTTTCATGAGCCACAGCCTTTGATCTTCATGCTCCCCTACACCATCTGCACTCTCACTCCTATGCACAAATACACAGGTAAAACAATAACAGGGTGGCCAATGGAACCTCAATGCGCATAGCTGAAGGGGTCGCATGTTGGAGGTACCACGCAGGGTTCTCCGGTTTTTACTGCTGGTATGGTGTGTAATGTCTGGTCCACTTTAAAGTCAAGTGTCCCTGCAAGAGGACTCACAAAGCACTGGAAGCTTCACATGAGACCAACTCGGATGTTCGTTCCAACCCCAACATGGGCACCAATAAGTCTGTGTACTACAGGACAAATTGGGATTTTAGGGAGTCAACAACGCTCATTTAGGAAAGTCAAATGGACAGTCTTGCAAACTCAACTGTACCATAAAGAAAATCACTGCCATGGATTCATAGGTTGTTTAAAGAAGAGAGGGGAAGTAGCTGTCAGTACAGCCACAAAACCATACAACAGACTTAGAGTCTTATCCAGCAGGTCTGTGTATAACTGGAGAATCATTTTGATGGGACTTGATGCCAGTTTACATGCAGTTTAGAAAACGCATCTACTAAAATGTCATCCATCTTCTTGATATAATTGCTGAAACGATCAATGAAGATCCTGCAAAGTCAAAACTGAATATTGGTTGTATCTCATTGATGTTTCATTTAGATGAAAACTAAAGTGAAATGTAAATCTTTAAGAATGTTCGAACAGTCACTTTTATTACATTAATTTAATATATAAGATGACTGGTTTGCGGAGAAACTAACCTAAATAGGTAACTGCTCTGGTTAAAGGTGCAGTATCAGCTATACTATTTTCCTATAGTTGTTCATGACCATGCACGCTGCTTTCATTGCAAATTGTATATCTTATCATATTTTAAAATGTTCATATATCTTGTTTCTGTGAGATATCAAGCACAGAATCTTTTTTTTTTTTTTTTTTCAGATGGAAAACCCTCGTAAGGTGTTTTTAGCAAATACTACAGTTTTTGTCTCACTTTAAAAACACCGTTTATTTGACGGTCACAATGGAAATCTTCATTTAATGTTCTCCTTTTTTTTCGAAACACCAAACCCTATTCAGTTTTGTCATAAGGGGAACAAAACTGGTGACTGGTGTACATTTCATGTAGTACTGTACTGAGATAAGTACTTTTTAGATTTGCCATTGTTTTAATAAAGGAGGGTTTATTTTTTTAAGGAATAATATATGGGAGAGGAGCAGTTTTGCATTAAGCCTGTAAAATCATTTTACGTATTTTACTTACAAATACTTACACCGTTCCATTGAAGATACAACTTCCATAAAAATCTAATTTAAATCTATAACATTGTTCTAATTGCTATCAAGAGTGATTTGAAAAAAAAAAATTAAAGATAGATCTTTCATTCTGACTATGTGATGTTTCTTTAAAACGAGGCTCAAGCTATAAATTTAGAGCCAATTTTTTTTTGTCAATCTGCTCATGACTGAATAGAAGAGAATGTTAAATATGCTATATGATGTCATCAAGACCCCATAGTATCCCTCTAAAACTGATTTTATTTTAGAAAGTAGTAGAAGTTGTTGGTTGAGCTCTATCCAGTAGATGAACTAGCAAATGCACTACAACTCAAGTAGAAATTGTCCTATACTTCATAATTTTTCCTCATCAGATCAGCTGTTTTATTTACCGAATAACTAATATGACTGAAACTAGACTAATATGAGACTACTAGTACATTCTGTTCAGTTTTAGACTCATTTGTAACCAGTGAGGTCATGAATATTAACCATGTTTCATTGAGCCCTTTTTTGATGTGATTCTTCTCATTGAAGGTTTGCGAAATGCAGCCCCCTCTAAAATAGTCAGGTGTATTCAATGTTTATAGTATAATCACTTATTTCTCCCAAAGACAAGTATAATTAACAACAATCCCTGCCTGTTTATTACTTTCTATTCGGTGCATTTTAGCATTCTTTGTTGCAGTACGTGTAAGGAGTCCAAGCTGTAAATCTACTCTATAATTTTAGCACTTAATGTGAAACCTGCATTGGAGCTGCTGGGAAGGTGTCATGTGAATAGAGTAACCCTGTTTCTTTTATTATTTAAGTAGTTACGCCTTAAAGTTATTTAAGTTGTCTACAATGTTTTTACTGTTGTATGTGAAGAAATATGGTCATTTATTGTAAATAACTAGGTTTATCTTGGGTTCTTCTCAGAAATATCAATATGTTTATTAAAATGTATAGCATGTTTGAGAACTTAATGAACGACTCCTTTACTTTTTGTCTCTCTAAAATTTGATCTGAATATCTGATATGGGTGGTTTTTCATAAACATTTACTACATGAATCTATATTATATCAGCTGATAGTATCTGTAGGGTGTCTGCAGTTTTACACACACATGCATATTCTTTGTTTTCTCCTGCTAAACTAAATAAAAAAGACAATATTTCCCAGTTAATACAAGCTATCAGAGTGTACACGTGCATCTGGTTTCAGTTGTAGTACTGGGAAGTGTCTCATTTCTTGTGTCACTATCCAAATGTCTATTTTCTTTTGTCATCAAGGTACAGTGAACAAAAAGGTGCACTGAGAGATTCAAAGAGGTCAACATTTCCCAGTGTTCATCCAGTGTAGATTGTCAATCACTTATATGTCTCCTTCAATACTTATGATGCACAGATGAAAGTAACTTTATTTAAATGAGGGTGTTATATGGTATGCCCACAAAAACAAAACCATTTCTTTAAAAATGCCTGTTCAGTGCTGTCTTCTGCAAAGCTTTATGGGAAACTTCACAAACAGCAGTACATGTTGAGTGTAGGTTGATAGCATTATTAAATTCCATCTCCAAACATCAATCAGGTTGAGTGGTCGTTATAATAATGAATGAGGACCACCCACGTCACCATAGTCACCCCCAATGTATTTAGAGTAACGCAATACTAAGTTGTCTGTGCCTTGTTCAGAGCCAATCAAAATTGTGTTGAGGGAGCAGGGCCGATAGGGGTGTATTTGAGTTTATATACTATCTGTGGCATGAATCATTACTTTTCATTTGGAATGGTTTTCTTTCTCTTCCCCAAAGGGCCTTTGCCTGGCTATATTTCATAAACAGTGTAACCCGGCACTCAGCATAAACATGACGAGTCTGTATACTAAATATTTGCAAAACTCTAATGGTTGGAAAACTCGCTTATAATATCATACACAGAATAAAGACTTATCGGGCAGATAATGGGTTTAGATAAGAGAATGACAAGAGATAGGGACATAATACTTTATCTATATTGTTTATGTTGATATATATATTGATGAACTTCCAGGAACACCATACTTAATCTATTAAACAGAACACAAACATCTACTTTTATCGCACCCGTGTTTTAGCAGAGTATTCTATTACCTCCTATATTTATGTGACTGAGTCAGTGAGGACTACTGCTGAAGTGTGTGTGGTCATGACTGAGGAAGTCTGAGTCCCTCAGAGCCTCACTGATGAAGCAATGGATCAAAACGCACCCTCAAAATTAGAGCAAACATGCATCAGTGGTCTCCCTTGAGCAACCTCTGGGATAGTTCACCCAAAAACGAAAATGCTGTCATCAATTATTTGCAATGAATTGCTTTCTTCTGTGGAACACAAAAGCAGATATTTGAAGAACTGCTTTTGTCCGTACAGAGGAAGGTCAATGGGGTCCAAACATTTCAAGCACCAAAGAGCACATCAATTTAGCGTAAAAGTAATCCATACAACTCCAGTAGTGTAGTGTAATCCAAGTTTTTCACATGATACAATCACTTTGTATGATGAACAGAGGGAAATTTAAGTGGTTATTTACTGCCAAATCAAAACAACCCAAATTAAATATGGCAATAGACCTTATTCAGGGAAGCAATATTTATTTTTTGACAGGAATGAAAATTAGGCTGTGAGGGATAGAAGTACAGTGTGTTCAATGGAGGGTACCGTTGTTTAACAACATGATTATTCAGGTGACAAAATTTCTTACAGGAGTGGAATGCAGGAGAACACGGTGAGGAGAACCCTGTAGCCTCAACTACCATCTGACATAGACAGGACGAGGTAAAAAAAACAATATATAGGACATCCTCATTCAAAACAGCTGGCGCTGATCAGCTCATCAGCCGCGCTGATCAGCCGCGCTCACTCACACAACACGCACACACATAGCGAGGGCGAATCAGGGACTCTTTTCCAGTTCCTCACGCGGTCAGATTCTCTTTTCCTTTTCCTAGTCTCTTCCGACCGTGTTTTCTTTGCTTTTTCCATCTTCGAGTATCACGTCTGAAATGCACGCAAGTGTCTTCGTCCTTCATATATTGTTGTTGATGTGTGTGACGTCGTTGCCATAAAGCATTTCGTTATTCTCGCGAGATTTGTCGGGGGCGCTCATCTCAAACTTGCATTGCTGGTTTTTACAGCGGCGTCCCCCCCAAGCTTTACTACCAGGATGATTCGCCCTACTGTGAGTTTATTTACCACCGAAATGACTTTGAAGCTGTTATATTACGGTACAATTCTTGCATAGTGTGCCTTTAACAACATGATTATTCAGGTGACAAAATTTCTTTCCGAAAAAGAAAAAAAAACTTTCAGAAGACAAACTTTTGAAAATTACGTGATCTATCACTCACAGCCTTGTTTTCATCCATGATAAATTCAGTATGGCACCTAACATGACCAAGGTCTATATATACAAATCAAACCTCTCTAGTTCTTGAGGGATGACGTCATAATGTTAAGCCTGGAACACACCAAGCCGACCCTCGGCCGTCGGGCAGTTTTTGTGCGTCGACCGACTAAAGCCTAGTTCACACTACATGATTTTAAGCCCGATTTGTAAATCGTTGAGCTCGCCGACAGGTCAGGGTGTTATCGCGTACAAATCGCGGGGGAAGAAGACGAAGAAGAACTTGAGTCGTGCGACAGCTCTGGATATCTAGCATGCTAGATATTTTTCTGGGCTCGGTGATGCGTCTGCGAGGCGTCTGCGAGCGTCTTTGATGCGTTGTTGGCTCTTTCATACTAACACGCTCGCAGACGCATCGCCGAGCCCAGAAAAATATCTAGCATGCTAGATATCCAGAGCTGTCGCACGACTCAAGCTCACGTGATGTCATGAGCTATAGCCAATCAGAGCAAGGCATGTTCGCGTGTTGTGTTCTTCTTCGCTGGGTATTGGCGCGCGTGCTGTTTCGCGTCATTTCAGGTTCGTTTTAGCGCGTGATTTTTCGTGACAAAACGTGGTTTGTAGACAAGATAGAATCGTTGGGTGACAGAGTTGTTGTCAACTCGTGTAGTGCGTTACCTCCTGTTGCGGATCAATCACGTTGTGTCGTGTGAACAGCTCAACAGCTTGAACACTCCTGATTTCAGAGAGCAAGTCATGTAGTGTGAACCGCACAGTTCAGCCCGACGTTTTAAAATCATGTAGTGTGAACTAGGCTTAAGTTTCCTCAGTGTGTTCCGCACCGTCGGCTGAAATTGGTCCTCGTCGGCTTTTTTTCGGCCGATTCGACATGTTGAATCGGGGTCGGGCCGTCGGTGAAAGAGGGAACTCTGATTGGCTGTTCAGCTTAGTGAACGAGTCAGTGCACGAGAATAATAGCAAAACAATGAGCAAATAAGTCAAGACTGTACAGATAGAAGGCTGTTCCAATGTTACATCATCTTACCTGAGTGTTCCTTGGCGAATATTTCAATATTAACATGAGCGGAGTGGAATAAAGAACGTGTTTAGCAGGATTGATATTCAAAACGGTAAGCACACACTGCTTTGTTTACGGTATGTGTATCTGCAGCCTGCAGCATCGGTTTCCCTTTTTAGATGACGAATATAGACGAATATATCTGTAGAAATAGACAGTTGTCTCATTTACACGCAGGCGCAGAACGCGCATTCTAGCTGACAGTCGGCAGTAGTTCTCTCGGTGTGTTCAAGTGCAGCTTTTACCCTGACGCGAGGCGACAAGACAGTCGGCTTTCATCAGCGCTAGTTCGTCAGCGTCGGCTTGGTGTGTTCCAGGCTTTATATCACATGATCAAGTGACCATATCGCTTCAGAAAACTTGGAATTTAAACCACTAGAGTTGTTTGGATAACTTTTAAGCAACCTGTATGTCCTTTTTGGGTCTTGAAGTTTTTGGACCCCAATGACTTTTATTGTATGTAGAAAACAGCTGAAACATTTTTCAAATCCTTTATTTTGTGTTCAGCAGAAGAAATACAATCATTTGAGTTTGGAACGACATGACGTTGAGTAAATAATGACAGAATATTTTTTATGAGCTATCCCCATTAAACTTCACAAAAATACATCAGCACACAAGGTA